GTGTAACACAAATACTCTAGTAGCCTCCTTAGCAACCATGAAAGAACACCCTAGCAACTACCACATATAAATGAGTGACTCCCCAGCAACCATATTGAACACCCTACCAACTGCCCTGAATACTCTAGCAGCTCCATAGCAATCACACAGAACATCCTAGTGGCCATCACAAAACACCCCAGCGACTCCCTAGCAACCACCCAGAACACCTTATCTGGCAACCACCCCGAATACACAATACCCTAGCATCTCTCTAGCAACCACCCAGAACACCTTATCTGGCAAACACCCTGAATACACAATTACCTTGCAACTCCCAAACAACCACCCAGAACACCTTATCTGTCAACCACCCTGAATTCACAATATCCTAGCAACTCCCTAGCAATCACCCAGAACACCTTATCTGGCAAACACCCAGAATACACAATACCCTAGCAACTCTCTAGCAACCACCCAGAACACCATCTGAGGCAAACACTCCGAATGCACAACACCCTAGCAACCACCCAGAACACCTTATCTGGCAAACACCCTGAATACACAATACCTTAGCAACTCCCTAGCAACCACCCAGAACACCTTATCTGGCAACCACCCCGAATACACAATACCCTAGCATCTCTCTAGCAACCACCCAGAACACCTTATCTGGCAAACACCCTGAATACACAATTACCTTGCAACTCCCTAACAACCACCCAGAACACCTTATCTGTCAACCACCCTGAATTCACAACTCCCTAGCAATCACCCAGAACACCTTATCTGGCAAACACCCAGAATACATAATACCCTAGCAACTCTCTAGCAACCACCCAGAACACCATATCAGGCAAACACTCCGAATGCACAACACCCTAGCAACCACCCAGAACACCTTATCTGGCAAACACCCTGAATACACAATACCATAGCAACTCCCTAGCAACCACCCAGAACACCTTATCTAGCAACCACCCTGAATACATAATACCCTAGCAACTCCCTAGAAACCACCCAGAAAACCCTAGAAATCGCAAAGAAACCCCTTATCATTGTCACGACTTTTGCACTACTAACGTTTTCATAATAAATTGTAAACATTTAGTCTAGTCTGTAATTTGTAAAGCAGCTGTTGAACAGCCCTTATTGAAGTAATGAGCTGTGCCTCTATTTGCTGCTTCATCTGAGAGCAGTTAAAAAATGAACAGGTTCTTTTAACAGCTTGGCAACGGTTTGCACTTAAATACCAGAGCGCACAAATACACAAATGAATCGAGGAACTCAGAATGTGGAAAGGAACGAATCCACCAAAGAGCCAGGGACACCAGGCCAATGAAATCATTGCTGTCTGCTGTTATGTCCTGGCTGTCATGTCAAACTGTCATACTGATGATTTAACTCATCTACTTCTCGCGGATGTGTGCGAGTGTGGGTGTGCGCACGAACATCCCTGCTATTCCCCACAGTGGTGCCTGAAAACTCGCCGCCTGCCTGTCAAACCAAATCCAATCTCAGCATTCCAGACTGGTAGAGTTGGGGTATGGAAAAAACACTTAATCCATTTACTGCAGTGTAACAGCATCTCATCCATCAGCTCCTAGCTGCCAATGGGAAGACTGCACCAATCCCAAGCCAGATTGAGGGAAAAAAGGAGAGAGAGAGAGAGAGAGAGAGAGAGAGAGAGAGAGAGAGAGAGAGAGAGAGAGAGAGAGAGAGAGAGAGAGAGAGAGAGAGAGAGAGAGAGAGAGAGAGAGAGAGAGAGAGATCCATCTTGAGTAGTGTAAGAACAGCCTGCAGTTCTCAGGACACACCTGTACACACACTTGTACATCGATGTGATCGATGGCTGTTGTGGTCCCGGCAAATTTTACCGTTCATCATACAAGGGGGACACGCTAGCACTAAGGCATTCACATCGAGTCGCCTTCGAACAATAATGGACACGCTTAATTACCTCATAGAGTCACATCAGAGAGCCTGCATATGTGCTAATTTATGCTCCAGTCCAATGTGGCTGACATCTACAATTCATTAAGGGCTATATTTACGAGGTCACCACTTCATGTAAGTCATCAAAAAATATGCGCAGGATCAGAGATGTGGCATGGTGGGTAGTGCACATGCTCAGACACGATTAGGCTCTTGATCTCCATTGTTTTCTGTGTCCTCTACTAATATCTTTAAAGAAACAGTTAAAGAAACAAAAATGAAAACTTTGTCGTCATTTACTCACCCTCAACCCCCGAAATGCACTCTAATGTCCAGGGATTGGTTTTGCAAAACAAAGTCTAATTATCCCACATGTATCCAAGTCATTCTGAGGTGAAGTCTAGAGATCAAAATACCTACAGTATATACATGCACCCTACTGGACAAATGTTTGAAATAATTGTGATTTTTCTTTTTAAATGTTTTTGAAAGAAGTCTCTTATGCTCACCAAGGCTGCATTTATTAAATCAAAAATATGGCAATATTGTAAAATACGACTACAATTTAAAATAGTTGTTTTCTATTTTAAAATGTAATTTATTCCTGTGAAGGCAAAGCTGAATTTTCAGCATCCTTACTCCAGTCTTCAGTGTCACATGATCCTTCAGAAATCATTCTAATACGCTGATTTGTTGCTAAAGAAACATTGTTTGTTGTCCGTCCCCATTGGAGAGCAGAGCAGCATGAACATTCGGCCAAACATCTAACATGTTCCAAAGAAAAAAGAAAATCTTACAAGTTTGGAACAACATGAGGATTAATACATGACAGAATGTTCCTTTTTCAGAGAACAATCCTTGTAAAATGTAAAAGTGCATGTACTTTTACTTATGTACTTTACCGGGCAAAGTGGTGCATGGAAAACCAAACTCCACCTTTGATAATTCAGCTGGTGAGATGCAGCCATGCCTCTCTGCCAGAGGGGAATGCTAACAATTAGCCCCAGAGCTTGGCATGGATGTCTGGGGAGAGCGCCAGCAATTAGACCCAGGGAGAGGCATCTCAGCCAGGGGAGAGATCCAGTGATGAGGCCATGAGTTTGGCAAATGCATGGGAGAGAGTGCTACATTACTGCTTGATGTCACACGGTGGCTCTGGCCAGAGGGGCGGATACTGGCACATACTTTTATGCACTCGCACACACACCCAAACAGCACAAATTCCAAACAGAAAAGCTAATTCACAGGTCAGAGCAGGACATCAGGGATGTGAATGTGTGTGCAAGAGATGGAGGTTAATAGAAAAGATTCGAATGTGGATTTTAGGCATTCACCAAGTTTATTCAAGTGTCCTATTAGTATACTTCTTTTAAACTAAAAATAAGAAAGTATACTTTTAGTCTACTTTCTAAGAAAAATACTTTATGTAGGCCTACTTCTCAGAAAAATACTTAAAATTGCACTTAAGTACAGTATACTTGACTTATTCTGACAGAAAGGTCTAAGTTTATTTGGCCTATATATTGTACTCGTTATTTTGATCGAGACATACATAAAGTATAATTAAGTAATCTACGTATACTTGGCGTGTAGTTGTGTTCAGAACTGATAAGAATTTAAATGTGTAGCCTACCTTGAAATGTAATGTAAGTCGCTTTGGATAAAAGTGTCTGACGAATGCATAAATGAAAATGTTTACTCATTTTAATAAGAGCAGCCTACATAGCGATTTACTTCAAATCTGACGCCAAAAGAACTAGCGCTGATGAAAGCCGACTTTGTTGTCGCCTCGCGTCGCCTGCGTCGGGGGAAAAAGCTGCACTTGAACACACCGAGAGAGCTACTACAGGAGACTGTCAGCTAGAATGCACTTTGTGCGCCTACGTGTAAATGAGACCACTGTCTATTTCTGCAGATATATTCATCTATATACGTCATTCAAAAAGGGAAACCGACGCTGCAGGCTGCAGATACACATGCCGTAAACAAAGCACTGCGTGCTTACCGTTTTGATTATCAATCCTGCTAAACACTTTCTCCACTCCGCTCATGTTAATATTGAAATATTCGCCAAGGAACACTCAGGTAAGATTACGTAACATTAGAACAGCCTATATGTAGGCTACCGTTTTGACTTCTTTGCTCGCTGTTTTGCTATTATTCTCATGCACTGACTCGTTCACTAAGCTGAACAGCCAATCAGAGTTCCCTCTTTCATCCCAAAAAAACCCGGAAAACTACGTCGGCCGACGCTCAAAAACGGCTTGGTGTACCCCGTGCTTTATACCGTAGGGGGCGCTATGACACATCTTCTGAAAGTGTACAGAATCTCTGTATCAAAACACAGGTGAAAAAGAAGCAGAAACAAGGGATAGAAGATTGCTCACGCAAATGTAAAATAATACAATGATCATCAAACATTAAACAGCATATAGGTTCAAAACTGCCTAACGTTATCGTATGAAATGTCGACCCAGAAAGGGTTAGCGACTGTGAAGCTTTGGGGGTGTTGGTGGACTCGATCTACTCCATCTGTAGGCCTATTTTGATCATCATTCTGAATCCGTTCCGGACAAAAATAGCAACATATTAGTATACTTAAAGTGCAAAAATAATATATAAATAGTAAGTAGGATGTTATGTTCACTTAAAGAAAACTTACTAGTATACTTGCAGTAGCCTATAAAACTACAAAACTAGTAGTTTACTGAGAGTAGGCCTATACTTCAAAGTGTACATTCATAATGTGCTGCAAGTATTTGGCTAGTAAACTATCATTAACTTGTATAGATGCAGTATACTACAAATGAAAAACAGCTAGTTATAAACTAGTTGTGTACTTAAAGTTTACTACTTAAAAGTATACTTCTAAACACTAAAAAGTGGGCCAATTTAGTCCTGAAACAGTACACTTACAAGTATACCCTATAGTAGCCTACATTGATATTAGTATACTGATATAAAGTATAGTTAAAATATACTTGAACTTTACTTAAGTAAACTTAAAGTACTAAACTTAAGTACTTAATCAAATGAACTTGAAGTATACTTATTTTTTTGTAAGGGTTAGTACACCTGGGAGCTCTCCTGCCTCGGGAAAATGCTATGACAAACCTTTCAGCATGAGTGCATATGATGCCATCAGTGTCAACGTACTTGGCCGATCTCTCTCTCTCTCTCTCTCTCTCTCTCTCTCTCTCTCTCTCTCTCTCTCTCTCTCTCTCTCTCTCTCTCTCTCTCTCTGTCCCAGACTCTCTGAAAGCATAAAAAAACGGAAGGGAGAGTTACTCAAAGTGACATGTCTGTCATTAATGTAAATTTTTCTCATCAGTGGCCGTAACTAACACAGACCATTGCACAAGGTCAGATTAAAAAGACAGCCCCTCCATTTGGGTGAAATATTACAACAACAGCGAAAGAGACAGTGCAGGGCTCCCGGCATCCATCCCGAACCATTTTCATATTTCAGTCGATTCTCATTACGTGACATTTGTCCCAAAACTTCAGAAACATCCATGCTTCTTGAGCATCCCAACTGGAATATGAGACAATTTGAGGACCTGCCAATCGGAGCCCGGTTCTGCTTCCTGCCTCCTGCTTCCTGCATACGCTTAAAGTCAGCCTGAAAAACTCATACAAGGGTACATACTGGTGGCATCTATTTCGCCAGAGACATCCAAGTCGAGTGTGACTCATCTGTCTCTGTCAAAATGACAACAGAGGACCCGAAACTATATGCAAAAAATCCCAAACAGCAGCGCTGTGGAAGCTACTTTGAAACTGTAGCTTGTCAACAAGATAGGCATGATTTAAAGTAGTTCAACTACAGTCAAGTTGCTCTTTTGAAAAAGTAGTGTTTGCTACTCAACCAGCTAGAACAAAAAGTTGCCACAACACTGATTTGAAATACATTTTATTTAGTAAAAATCATTGTACTATTTTGTATATTGCTACAAAACTCAAAACTATAAAGTGCCGCATTAATATCTGTGCAGAAATGAATCTGTGAATCATATTATTGAATCTGTGCATGAGCAAACTGATTGATTAAAACTTCTCCAATACTTGATATAAATGAGTGGATAATTGAAAGTTCAATAGCACATAAAGATTTCATTATGATAATAATGTATAATATCTATAAATAATAATTATATATCTAATCCCCACAAAAAAAAATATAAAAAATAATTTTAATTAAGGCATTGAAAATTAAAATTGTTTAGCTTAAAAATTAAATATAAAAAATGTATGATAAAAATTAAGTCATTCTCTGTATGAATATGAAAAACATACTAGTTCTGGTCCAAAAAAAGTGACAGTTGCATCACTGACACTTACAGTAGGTGACCACATTGTATTAGTACCTCAGTTCGCTTGGCTGTAAACCAGCATGTGCAATACTACATCATAACAAAATATAGTAATGCAAATATAGCAATTGTATCACATTTCACGGCCACCTACTGAAAAAAAAATCGATAGTCGTGTCACTGTTTTATTTAGTCACTCACCAAAACATATTGTTGAAACCAAGCAAACAGCCAAGAGACTCTTTTTCTTTTCCCGAGCAGCTGTTCAAGTCAATCGGTGCTTGGGAGTTGACTTAGTGAAAAAGTAACTGTGCGTTGGTTAATAAGCTTAATGGCTGAGCGTGTCACATCCTGACCAGCTCATGTGCGGAAGAGTGTGAGAGCACAAGCTACTTTATAACTGTAAGCCTTTTAATGCCACTTCACCACAATGGCTTCCTTTAGCGACCAGGATAAAAGCCAGCACGCTGTGTGAATGAGTAAACAGCTGAATATATCAAGATATGGACAGCCCCACTGTGGCATGTGTCTTTGTGCTGTTAGCAGCAGGGGACACGCGGGATGGATGTTTGGCTACCATGAGCTGAGACAAACGCATAACAAATGGGTGATGGGAAGAGAGAAAGTAAGAGAGAGACAGAGCAGAACTTACTTTGTTTTCTAACCGTGCACATGGGTTTAACGGAAGCTTCACGCTGCGAGACGCTTTCACGTCAGGACATCAGCACACCATGCTCGGTTTCAACGCCACTTTGACCTCCGATTTTAGGAGGATGCTAGACTGCAAGAAAGCAGGAAGTCTGCACAGTAAATGATAAAAAAAAAAATGTATGGTTATCATCGGCTGTTCTTCGAAAGGTCAGAAGCAGTAGATATTGTTAGAACTTTTGAGCTTTGCATTACAACAGTTGACCTGCAAGTTAGCCGCTTCGCTCCATAGAGCTCACTGGGGGGGGGGGGAAAGAAGAAAAAAAAGTATTTCTATCTATTTGTCCAGTAAAAATATCAACAAAAATGTTTTAGGCCTACTTGAAAGACTGCATTAAATATTAAGACTAGTCTTCAGAGAATGCATACTACTGTTCAAAAGTTTGGGGTCAGTACGAGTTTTTTTGTTAATGTTTTTGAACATTAACACAATCAAAAATACCATAAAAACATTAAGATTATGAAATATTAATACCATTCAAAATAGCTGTTTTATATTTTAATATATTGAAAAATGTCCTTTTTTCCTGTGATGGCAAATCAGATTTTTCAGCATCATTACATAGACAGTAAAAGAAATGGACAGAGCCATCTCATTGGAACTCAGTTGAGACAGTTGAAGCCCACTTTTAGCGATTTTTGAGCACTTCCGTTCCTGACGCGCAGACTCAGACCGACTCAAACTAAGCTTGATGACGTGAGCAACCTGTCTGACAGACGTTAATCTTCTAGTAGCTGTGCGTGAAAACTGCCAACGTTAATCTTGCAGAGACGGGGAACTTGAGCAAAGAGTTCTTTGGCGTGAGTGAGCAGGAGTAAGTATTCCGTTGCTTTTATGGACTCATTATCTATGGGCTTCTCCCTTGACGGGACGTCCCCCCGATTGCCTGCGAGCTTCTCCTCCTGTCTGTACGGTAACTTCTGTACAGCGGGACAGAGAGTCGAGTGGTTATGACGCAATCGTTAGCCTATTTTTACTAAATCTGTTTCTACGGGGCCATAGTGTAACATAGAAGGTAATGGAGCCCTTTATACATTGTCGTGTTTCTTTAGAAATAAATAATGGACAAATGGAGTCTTTAAACGCCTCAGATGTAAAGTTATTCGCTGTCAAAGTGAGGCAAAAATGAATGGGAGTCAATGGAAATGCTAACGCAAGTGAAGTTCTGCTACAAGATGGCGGCACCCGGCCGGCTTCAACTTCCGGTCGATGGATTACCCCCTTGGCATCATTAGGCTACTCCAGTCTTCAGTGTCACATGATCCTTCAGAAATCATTCTAATACGCTGATTTCACGCAGCCGGCATTTTGAAACATAGACATAATAAATACATAGACGCCCTATTGGCCGCTTTGGAACGTTGCTGCGATACGTCAACGGGTCCGCCATTTTGCGGAGGGCAAGACTGCGCTATAATCAAATGTAAGTAAACGGGTGAGCTGCGTTTTTCTGGATAAAAACAAACTGTTTTTACATTTATCAACCGATTTCAGTGGTTTGTATGTGGTGTACAAAAAGTTCCATCTCTAGTTATTTAAAATCTCGATAGTTAGACTTGTAAAAAAAAATTTTTTAATAAAGAATGGTCAAAGCTCAGGCTTGTCATGTATTTGGCTTTTTATTCTTGGATAAGCCCCCATACTGAGATATAAGTTTTCTTATTGTGGAAAAAGTGGGATTTTCTGTGATTGACCAGATTTTAGCAATAACAAAGATAACTGATGGATCCTTTATGATAATACATATGTTATGGTACAACTATAGTGCAATGCAAATAGTAAATATAACATAAAGTGAGAAGTAATAGTAAATAGTCAATAAAATAAAATAAACAAATAGTATACAGCAAATAAAATAGTAATGAATAGTATAATTATATAATATCATAAGTACAATAATACAATCATAAAAATATTGATAATAGCATATAGTTTATTAATAATACTATAGCAATAGAATAAGAAATATCAATTACAGAATATACACAATAAAAAAATAAGTTAAATAGTGACTTTTGACTAAATTTCAGTTTTATTGATCAGTAATAGCCATTATAACGTCTCCGGTTACTATCGTAACCTCGGTTCCCTGAGAGGCGGGAACGAGACATTACGTCATACTGACGTATATGGGAACTCCTCCCTTCTCCATTTTCACTGAAATCTTATAGGATAACGCCAGCTGGAGACAGCTGGCCAATTGACGCAAAACATGCAAATGCTGACCGGACCGCGGGCAGTATAAAATAGCATGGGCGCGACAATTACGTCAGAATCAAGACTGAACGCTAGCACAGCTGATCAAACGGCGAGCACGGCGGTTGACGTAATGTCTCGTTCCCGCCTCTCAGGGAACCGAGGTTACGATAGTAACCGGAGACGTTCCCTTTCAAGGCGGTCACTTCGACATTACGTCATACTGACGTATATGGGAACTGTATAGAATCCCGCCGTGAGCGCAGTGAAGATAAGCCCTGAACGGGGTCAAGCTACACTCCCACAGGAACAACAGTTCTAAGCCAGCAGCGCCGCTAGGAGCACTCAAAACTGATAGGCGAAACTAGACCAACGTCTGCTCCGGCTTACCAAGTTGCGCATCCACTGCAATGAGGCGAAGGCTGCACTGGACAGGGCAGCAGAATACCATAAGCACTCGAGCACAAGAGCTAACACAGTGTCGACGGCATAGCGGTGACAGCTGCATAACCTTAAGCCACACACAGAGTTAACAGTACATTGGAACTACTGCGTAATGTGGAAACAGCTATGTAACCTTATAGTCATAACACAGAGTTAGCAGCAATGGTAACTCTGCAATACAGACTACTGCACAGCTGGTGGTAACAGTTTCATGAGTACATTGATAAAACTCACCGAACCCACGACGCTAAGGTGGTGCATCAAACTTGGAACCCTGGCGAATGTGTTCTGAGAAGACAGCCAGCATACCTAAATCCCGTAGGCATTAAGCAACCATTTAAAGCATCGAATTCAGAGAGAAGTCTCTGTATAAAACAGCACGTCCCTAGTACCATCCACCAAGCACACAACAGCTGGTAGACTGCTGCCAAGTGATCCACGTACATCCACAAATCCCTTACAGGGCCAACATCACTCTGAGCATCGGCATCATGCGAGGCTGAAACTCGGCAGATAAGGCGGGCAGGGATCAACCTGTGCTCTGAACGGTGTAAGCGACTTCGGAACGTAGCTTGGTATCGGACTGGGAGTGACGCTGCAGTCATCAGGTCCGAGACAATGCGACAACATTCACTAGAATGAGCGTAAGTCTCCAAGTGCTTCGCTGGGGCGAGAGCCGGTGGTAAGGCCATCTTAGGGAGAGCTCCGTTTCTCAGCACTTGTCAGTGTGAAGTGTCTTGCTCAACTAAGGACCCAGCAGCGGACACACAAGAAGGTTCCACAGCTTGGGGCTGGGGTGCCACCTTGTAGAACATAGCCGATGTTCTATAGCCAATGTACAGAAGTGCAAATCAACACATAACTGAATGTACATAAACACAGTGCCAGTGGCCGTAGCGACGACAACTGTGCATATACGCAGTTAGAAAATAGCCCCATAATAGCATAGCACCTCAGTAAGCAAACAAACAGTCATAACTGTAGCTACAACTGTGAATATATGAGTTTGCACAGAATAACCAGTTGCCCTGATAGGAACGGGGCAATATAACAGCGTAGCACATGCACGTACAGCATTTTTCAGAAACTAAGATGCATAGTTAGATTAGGATGGCTAGCAGCACTGAAGGAAACAGGGCAGCATTACAGCATAACACATCCGTTTACGTACATACCTCCAGAACTGTGAATATGCACGGTTAGATTAGGATAGCTAGTTTTGCACTGAAGGAAACAGGGCAGCAAAATAGCAAAAACACGTCCTTGTACGTGCCGTGTAGTCACCATAGCGACAGAACTGAATATGCAGTTAGATAGGATAGCTGGATGTTGCACTGAAGGATAGAGGGCAACATAACAGCATTACCCATCAGTGTGCACATATCAAACATCTGAGTGTATAATGCGGTGCAAGTCGATGAAGCGACCGAGACTGCATGAATATGCACAGTTCACATAATGGTCAGTTACGTTAGCAACATAACTGCATAATCGCTTCAGTGTGGACACAGATGCAGCGCAAGTCGCCGTAGCGACACACTGTGACTATGCACAGTTAGATAGGATAGCTAGGTGCACTGAAGGATACAGGGCAACGCGATAGCATAGTCACATTAGTGTGTACAAAAACACAGCGTCAGAGGCATCGCGACATCGACTGTGAATCCATAGTAAGTCAGAATAGCCGGTTGCACTGATGATACAGGGCAATATTTAGCAGCGTAAACATAGCACACCAGTGCGTAGCGTGTACACAGCGTCAGTTGCACCGCACAACAACTGTGTACGTAATCAGAATAGCCATTTGCACTGAAGGATACAGGGCAATGTACAACGGCATAAGCATAACACATACAGTGTGTAGAGTGTACATAGACACGGCGTCAGTTGCATCACAAGACAACTGTGAATATGCACTGCGTAGTAATCAGAATAGCCATTTGCACTGAAAGAAACAGGGCAATATATAATGGCATAAATCATACACATAACAGTGAGTTGTATGTACGTAACACAGTGTCAGTTGCATCGCACCACACTGTGAATACGTAGTAATCAGAATAGTTACTTGCACTGAAGGATACAGGGCAAAATACAAAGGCAAAATTCATAACACATAGTGTGTAGTGTGTACATAAACACAGCGTCAGTTGCATCGCACAACAACTGTGAATACGTACTGCATAGTAATCAGAATAGCCATTTGCACTGAAAATTACAGGGCAACATATAATGGCATAAATCCCCACACATAACGCTGTGTAGTGTGTACGTAACACAGCGTCAGATGCATCGCACAACAACTGTGAATACGTACTGCATAGTAATCAGAATAGCCATTTGCACTGAAAATTACAGGGCAACATATAATGGCATAAATCCCAACACATAACGCTGTGTAGTGTGTACGTAACACAGCGTCAGTTGCATCGCACAACAACTGTGAATACGTAGTAATCAGAATAGCCATTTGCACTGAAGGATACAGGGCAACAACGGCAAAATTCATAACGCAGTGTACGGTGTGTACGTAACACAGCGTCAGTTGCATCGCAAGACTGTGAATACGTAGTAATCGGAATAGCCATTTGCACTGAAGGATAAGGAACAGGGCAATATATAATGGCGTAAATCATACACATAACAGTGCGTAGTGTGTACGTAACACAGCGTCAGTTGCATCGCAAGACTGTGAATACGTAGTAATCAGAATAGCCAGTTGCACTGAAGGGTACAGGGCAATATCGTGGCATAAGCATAACACACACATATCAGTGTACATAAACACAGCGTCAGTGGCATCGCACAACTGTGAATCAGAATAGCCAGTTGCACTGAAGGATACAGGGCAATTTATAGCGGCATGAATCATGAACACATATCAGTGTGTAGAGTGCACGTAAACACAGCGTCATTTCATCGCACAACAACTGTGAATACGTGGTAATCAGAATAGCCATTTGCACTGAAGAAACAGGGCAGCATATAACGGCGCAAATCTTAGCACATATCAGTGTGCAGTGTGTACATAAACACAGCGTCAGTGGCGTAGCGACAACAACTGTGATTACGTGGTTAATAGAATAGCCAGTTGCACTGAGGGATACAGGGCAATATATAAGGATATAACAGTTAAACCATAGCACATATCAGTGTGCAGTGTGTACATAAACACAGCGTCAGTGGCGTAGCGACAACAACTGTGATTACGTGGTTAATAGAATAGCCAGTTGCACTGAGGGATACAGGGCAATATATAAGGGCATAACAGTTAAATCATAGCACAAATCAGTGTGCAGTGTGTACATAAACACAGCGTCAGTGGCGTAGCGACAACAACTGTGATTACGTGGTTAAATCAGAATAGCCAGTTGCACTGAGGGATACAGTGCAATATATAAGGATATAACAGTTAAACCATAGCACATATCAGTGTGCAGTGTGTACATAAACACAGCGTCAGTGGCATAGCGACAACAACTGTGGATACGTGGTAATCAGAATAGCCATTCGCACTGAAAGAAACAGGGCAATATATGACGGCACAAATCATAGCACATATCAGTGTGTAGTCTGAACATAAACACAGCGTCAGTGGCGTAGCGACAACAACTGTGGATACGTGGTTAAATCAGAATGGCCAGTTGCACTGAAGGATACAGGGCAGTCTGACGACATAAACTGTAAGCTGTGCACCTCCATTACCAGAGCGGGGCGTCCTGACGCGGCGCTCTCCGTGGCCTGTGTCGCCACATTCCCGGTCCCGCCCTCTGCCAACGGTGAAGATCCGGTTTGTTACGGGTTCGAACCGTTTTGGCGGCTGTAGCCGAATTAGGCGGGACGAGGTGCCGACGAAGAGAGACATCGAGGAAGGCTGGACGTATAGAGATCAAAAGTTTCGGTTTAATGTCTGGCCGCGGCGCGACTAAATTTTATCTGCTGTGAGAGCTGGGATCGAACACGGGTCTCCCGTGCGACGGCTTTGGGGTTCGCCACTGAGCCACAGGGGGAAACAACCACTTTTGCGCCTTTAGACACAGAGCCATCGCCTTGCCTCGTCTCTCTGGATGCGTCTTCGCATGACTTACCATAGGACGTCGTGAAGACGGAATCTTTCTTGAAGTAGCCTGGCTGTTAGATACCGGGCTAAGTAAAATAATAAAAGTATCCTTTCCGACGAAGCCTATCGCGTCGAGTCCGTCTAGCGAGCCCGCGAAAAGGACCGGAGAGGCGACGGGCAGGTTTAAAATGTATCTGCTGCGAGAGCCGGGATCGAACACGGGTCTCTCGCGCGAAGGGCTTCAGGTTCCGCCACTGGGCCTGGGGAGAACGACTGTCAACTCTTCTTTGGGCGTGAGAGGGCCCACCAGCCGCCGCTGGCGGCAGTGGGCCTCATCCCTGCTGATGCCCGGAGTTTATGAGGGCGCGCACTGGTAGACCAGCACGTATGCCAGTCGTCCGTGAGTGCGGCCTCGGTAGATCCTTGTTTGGGTAGAGCGAGTCAATACCGCACATATCTGGCATGTAGCAGCCATCGGATGCGGGGAGGAAACATGGTGAGTAACCTCTATTGCAACTTCCACGATGACTTCAGATAAGACTTCTAGCGTGAAGAAAGAGATTCTGACGTAATTGTCGCGCCCATGCTATTTTATAGGTCCCGCAGTCCGGTCAGCATTTGCATGTTTTGCGTCAATTGGCCAGCTGTCTCCAGCTGGCGTTATCCTATAAGATTTCAGTGAAAATGGAGAAGGGAGGAGTTCCCATATACGTCAGTATGACGTAATGTCGAAGTGACCGCCTTGAAAGGGAACAGAAGTAGCTTCAGTCAAACATACAGCTGCAGGATACAACGTTAAAATAGCCTAAATATAAAGTTATGAAACTTCACTTTGCCCTCAGCCAAAACGATTTACCAGGGAACCATTTATAGATTAATGAGACCAAAGATCGCCCGTTAGATATACACAAGACGAATTATATCTCATGTTTAACCACTACTAGACTAACGTTACAGACATCCGAGTCAGCGGCAAAACTTCAGAAGCACTGGCCGAGGGCTGTTCCAGGCGGGGTAGACGAGCGCTGAGCCCCGGTGATAGCATCTTACAACTCCGAAAGCGTCAGATCAAATTTTTAAATAGGCGCTATCTTTATAAACAAACCACATATTTGAGCTTTAAACAACTACATTGTCGACTGAAAAACTACTAAAACTACATTTCGTGACACAATAACAGTAGTATTTTTAAATGTATCCTCTGAACGTTACTATTACTTATTAAATCATGACCAAATACAACCAAAAACAAACGCTCAGTCTTGCTTGTGAAAGGTAATTCCTCGAAAGCTGTTTTCAATTGTGTGGCGATGTGTACAGCCCCAAACAGCGCACAAAACAGGCATTTTTCTCAATTCCCGGTATGAGAGGTATGGGAAAGTTGCCATCCTCAATATGGCGGCGCCGTTGACGTACGCTGCAGCGGCCAATAGGGCGTCTATGTATTTATACTAGGTGTGTTCGACATCGGTTGTGGCTGGATGTAACCGATCGGCGAGAGTAGCCGCGTGCAGGCGGGGAGGAGCTGCAAATGGAGACGTGAAGTCGGACACTTTCTGGTTCCCGTAGTGACAGCTCACGTGGTGTTTGTATACTTTACCACAGCTGAAGTGAAATAAATTCAATATTTGCCAAATGCACAGATGTTTCAGACACATTTTCATTCATTACTTTATGTACTGCTTCATACTGCATCTGTTTGAACAAGAATAAAGTTAAAAATAGCCACTATCAATGAAGTGCAGTCGACGTTTTTAATCACTTTTATTTTGATAAACATAACACAATATAGCTAACATCACGACTACATGAAAAGAGTGTTTACTGTTATAAAAAACTGATTTGTGAGCTTTAGTGGAACTAAAGGTGTGAGAATAAACACGAAACGCACGTGATCGTTGTCATGCGGTGAATCCGGCCAATCGTGGAACAGCTGTGTCGTCATCAGAGCTTGTGCAGCCCCGAGCAGCCGCTCTTCAGAATATGCGCTGGCTGAGTTCTCCGGCTGCTCTCGAATCGCTCTCGCGGTATTTTGATGGCATACGTCACAGTCACGTGGCGTCGGCGCTGTATCAAGTCGGACAACATTTCTAACCGGCATGCACTGCTTCAAGTCAGCCGCCGATCGGTCTGCGCAGAGCTGCATGAAGTCGAACAAGCCTTATGTCTATGTTTTGAAATCGAAAGCGAGGCTCCGGTGGGAAGAACCCCGGAAGTACAGATAAACAACAATGCCTTGGACTACCAACGTGAAGCTGCTGCCGCGATTTACACTATTGAATGTTAATATCCAATATAGGATATAGTTCGGTTATGCTTCTTTTTTTACGTTCTGAATAAAAAAAAGTATTTTATTTATAAATTAATTTCACTGTATATAGTCTAAAGTATGAAAGAAATGTACATTTTTAGAATTACTAATTTCTACTTAAACACAACAATACGCCATCGCATTCGCGACTGTCCTATGTTTAAAGGTGACACTTCCGGTTTTCTTCCCACCGGAGCCATTTCAAAATGGCGGCTGCGTGAAATCAGCGTATATCAAGAAACATTGATGTATATCGGGGGAAGGGGTGTGTGCTTGTTTGTGTGGGAATCTGCTGTACAGTAGGGAACGCTAAGCTGAAAGAACGTGGCTAAAAGACTCCAACACCGATCAGTATGAGGGGGGGAATTACTCACAGATGCCAGACTGGGAGTGCAGTTCTGCCCTTCTGGTAACCCCACGACTCTGCCAAGAGCAGCTATAGGTCACCGTGTTCCAGCCAGAGACCTGGACTCAGGGGGAGAGAGACGCCGAGACACTGCAGTCCCCTACTCACCCGTTTAACTACCTGCCAACTCCAACACAGCTGCTGCATGACCAAACAAGAACTCACATTATTAGGTTCTTCAAAGAAAGCATCAACAGGGCCTGAAGGCAATAACAACACATGCATCACCATTTTGCTTTCGATAAACCTTCCTCCCCGCTGTTCTCCTCCGTGGGCTACCTTTGAGGAGCAAACTCAATGACGTGTGACCGGAGATGATGTGAGACAGTTTCTACAGTCAGCCCTCGGACATGGAGTGGGATTGTACCTACGGATTTGATATTTTTCCTGGAGGAAAATTGTATTGCAATGCAAAAAATAAATAAATAAAATAATTCAAAAATAATTTTCTTAATCAGTATTTTGTTTTCCAGTTAAAACATCTAGGCTATTAGATTTTAATAAATCATTAAGGCATGTTTTCAGAAAATACATCTGTAATAGATGTATTTTCATAATGATTCATTTTGTCTTTTTTTCCAGTTAAAGTATATAAACGTTTTAAAATTGAATAAGACAAATTAAGACTTGTTTTCTGAGAATATAACTTAAATTGAGTTTACTTTTCGTTTCTATTTTTTTTATTTCTTATTTTAAGCATAAATCTAAAAAGTTTACACATACAAAAGTAATAATTAAATTCTCTGAAAACAAGTCTTATTAACGACAAGCTTGCAGATCAATTTAATTTATCTTGGTTTAAGGGGGTTTTAGTGGAATTGAAGACGATTGAGAAAAGTTTTTTTTTTCAGAAGCTCAAAGGTTGTACTTTCATACTGGTGCTCAGGAGAGGTAACTGAGTTCATTGAGTTCATTGTCTCAGATGTTGCTCCAGGAGAGCATACAGTAGCTTAGATCATATGGTTTTGGAAGTTTCTTATGATAAATGTTTGAGTTCATACTGAAACATGTAACTTTTAATTGCATTCTAGGCATGTATCAATGCGAATCCGATCACAATTTGGGAATTTAAAGGAGTCACATGATAATAATAGGTGCACACAAACAGAAATTTATATAATACATTACGTAATATAATATGTCATATAATGTAATATATGTCATACAGTATATGTCATTATATAATATAATATAGGCGAATATAATAAATCAATATAATATAATACAATATAATATAAAATAGGCTAATATAATAAATTAATACAATACAATATAATATAAAACAATATAATATAATAAATTAATATAATACAATATAATAATTTGTAAGTCGCTTTGGATAATAGCTTCTGCAAAATGAATAAATGTAATAAAATGTATTACATTTCAAAATACATTTATAAACCATCTGCATGCAAACCATGCCTGGAATTGATTGAGTTTGATTCTTTTGTTTCTCTGTAGTTAAACTACATGTGCATTCCATTGTTCTTGAAACCCAGATCTAACCTGTCCACCATGTGAAGACGCACATTGAGACGAGACCTGAATCATGTGATCGCCCCAGCATGTTGGGCATCCCCAGAGCCTTTGATTATAGCGCGCGGAGAGACAGACAGGACTAATTGCTGCATATCCAGCCCCCTGTGCTGCGCTCGTGCTGAGCTGTTCAATGCCACCCTGCACTGGTGCATTTCGGGATATCATTTCCACTGACTCCTACCCCTCCCTAATCCCATGACCGGAGGGTGATTTTAATAATACAACACAGACTGGTCAAACAGATCCAAAATCTCAACAAGGGTGGACAGCTGCCATACCGCACATCCTACTACTACATCTCAGACACCGTCCTCGTTCGCCCCGCCTACTCCAGTGCCACGATTGTCATGGAAATGATCCAGATGCGACCCTCACACCCTCGTCACGGCCATTAGCCGGTCGCGGGCCCTCGGAGAAGGAACCCTGGTGATTTGAGCGCCATTAAACTTGAACCAAAGCCATTGAACTTTGACCACCCATCGTCCTGGTCCCATCACAAGTCATTTGTATGTAATTAGTAGCAAAGGATGGTTGTGTTTGTCCAGGCTGTTCTGCACCACTAACTATTGGATTCCCATTTAGTATCACATACAGTATATATAAGACTTTGACTTCAGAAACAGACAAAATTGAAAGGGAGAGTTCATGTACTTAGGTACTCACCCTCATGTGCTTCCAAACCAGTGACTTTTTTTCTCTGCAGAGCAAAAAGAACATATTTCAAGAACCTATCAGCTGTTTTTGTCTATAGAAAGAGTCCAAAACAACACTGGACCAACATTGACAAAAGAACACTAAGAGATTTTTCAAAATGTCTTCTTTTGTGTATCTCAGAAGAATGAATGTCATACAGGTTTGGAACGACGTGAGATAAATTGGGACTATAGACTGTTTTAGCTGTCTGCTTTTAGCTGGCTAACCAATAACGCTGTATCTGATTAGCCGAATGAGATCTGACGGCCTTTGCAAAACCGAAGGCAGTATTTCTCGTGGTGTAATGTTCTCTTCTCTTCACTTCAGATGATTAATGCACTGACTTGTTTAGCCTGGCCGCAGTCTCATGCTGAAAGGAACATCAATAAACATTTCCAGTGATCGATTGGCAGCATTTTCATGCAGATTACACAGTGAAATGTTAATCCATGTGTGTTGTGTATGATTGATCTCTAACGGAGGCATGACACCCACCTTTCATCTCTGAAGGCCTAAAATGCCCAATTTTGGACAGGTATTTATGTCACTGGTTTGATGCTAGTCAAGTTGGTGGACCTGCTCAGCATGGCAAACCATGAACAAGGCCTCGATATCTCTCTTTCGGCTTTTTACTGGCTTTTTCTTTCGCACTCCCCCTCCCTCCTGATATTCTCCTGGTGAGAGAAGTACTGTGAAGCAGTTGTGCTCGTCACAGGCGAGTGGCTGCATTGTCTCTTCCTCTATTACCATTCATCTCACTGCAATCCTCTCTGCTCAGCCCAAAACACAGCTTAGTGCTGTCCCCTCCACCACGGCAGGGGGGCTACGCAAAGTGAGTCTCAGCCTCTTGAGCCTCGTCGAGCTTGAATAAGCATGGATAAGCCGAAGAGGCAGGCCGTGGACCACCTGGAGCAGCGCGCTGCGCATACACTCGGTGATGGAGACTGGCTGGGAAAGGTGGATACGGTGTGTGGCTTACATGACAGCGTCAGACCAAGTTTATACTCTGAACCTTGGTGGACAGGCACCTCAGAGGACAACCAGCCCTTCAGAATGGCCAGATGGACACTTTTGTCGGGCCAGATTGGGTATTTTCTGCACGAGTTTCTGGTCTTCTTGTGAATATGATTCATCGTTGCAAAAGAAAAAAATGCCTTATTAATCTTTAGTAATGGCCACTTTTCATGATCCAGTTGATTCCTGAAGGATTAAATCAAAACACATGCATTCTACATTCATTCAGGTGCAAAATTTGAATATTCATATACAATTACAGACAGATAGACAGATAGACCAACAAATATATTTGTAGTATATATAAATATACATATATATTAAATAATATAAATTTTATATATAATATATATATATTAAACTATACATATTTTATAGTGTACATATACACTCACCGGCCACTTTATTAGGTACACCTGTCCAACTGCTCGTTAACACTTAATTTCTAAGCAGCCAATCACATGGCGGCAACTCAGTGCATTTAGGCATGTAGACATGGTCAAGACAATCTCCTGCAGTTCAAACCGAGCATCAGTATGGGGAAGAAAGTTGATTTGAGTGACTTTGAACGTGGCATGATTGTTGGTGCCAGAAGGGCTGGTCTGAGTATTTCAGAAACTGCTAATCTACTGGGATTTTCACGCACAACCATCTCTAGGGTTTACAGAGAATGGTCCGAAAAAGAAAAAACATCCAGTGAGCGGCAGTTCTGTGGGCGGAAATGCCTTGTTGATGCCAGAGGTCAGAGGAGAATGGCCAGACTGGTTCGAGCTGATAGAAGGGCAACAGTGACTGAAATAACCACTCGTTACAACCGAGGTATGCAGCAAAGCATTTGTGAAGCCACAACACGCACAACCTTGAGGCGGATGGGCTACAACAGCAGAAGACTCCACCGGGTACCACTCATCTCCACTACAAATAGGAAAAAGAGGCTACAATTTGCAAGAGCTCACCAAAATTGAACAGTTGAAGACTGGAAAAATGTTGCCTGGTCTGATGAGTCTCGATTTCTGTTGAGACATTCAGATGTTAGAGTCAGAATTTGGCGTAAACAGAATGAGAACATGGAACCATCATGCCTTGTTACCACTGTGCAGGCTGGTGGTGGTGGTGTAATGGTGTGGGGGATGTTTTCCTGGCACACTTTAGGCCCCTTAGTGCCAATTGGGCATCGCTTAAATGCCACGGCCTACCTGAGCATTGTTTCTGACCATGTCCATCCCTTTATGGCCACCATGTACCCATCCTCTGATGGCTACTTCCACCATGTCACAAAGCTCTAATCATTTCAAATTGGTTTCTTGAACATGACAATGAGTTCACTGTACTAAAATGGCCTCCACAGTCACCAGATCTCAACCCAATAGAGCATCTTTGGGATGTGGTGGAACGGGAGATTCGCATCATGGATGTGCAGCCGACAAATCTGCGGCAACTGTGTGATGCCATCATGTCAATATGGACCAAACTCCCTGAGGAATGCTTCCAGCACCTTGTTGAATCTATGCCACGAAGAATTGAGGCAGTTCTGAAGGCAAAAGGGGGTCCAACCCGTTACTAGCATGGGGTACCTAATAAAGTGGCCGGTGAGTGTATATATATATATATCATTATAAAATGCCATATTATATATTTGTATTATATGTAAATATAATTTTACATTTATACTTCATAATACTGATAAAGAAAATTATCTTTTGGGGCTTTTTTTTGTGTGGACAATGACAAAAAAGAATACCAGGTGAATCATTGCAAACCCACAATCCTCTTCCACTGACCTATAGTCTCATTCTCAAAAGCCTGCAAGTGAGGTTAAACATCATGAAATGGGTTAGCAGAACAACGCAGCCCCGGTCAGTGTGAAAATAGATAAACAGTGTATTCAGATCAGCGACCAGTAGCATTGGTACCCCATAAATCCAGAATGTGTCTTGCTGGGCAAATGCATTGGGAGTGATGAGCTGTATGATTTAGTGCCGCCCGCTCTGCTCTCTCTGTCTGTCTGAGCAGCGCACACAGACGCAGAGCTCTTTTCATAAGCCCGGCCGGATGACATGATTCATGGCTCTAGTCCCAGCTGTTCCAGGAGCAGCACAGACCAGCCACTGCTGGGTTTGCTGGTTTATTCATGCTGTCTGGCGTAGTAATGACAACCTGCAAACACCAAAACACTAGATCAAAACCTTCCTGACTGAATGTACATTTTAACAGTTTACAGATTGATAGGGTTCGACATGGAATTGAATTAGGACCTATCTGTTCGGAAAGCCCTGCATGACTAATCGCTTGTCGTGAGGCCAGGTTTTAAATGTAATGAATCCACACCTGTGGCATACAAGTATTCACTGGTTTAGTTGGTATAGTGTGTCACATGATGATGGCTGAGCATATTGTGTAAAAAATACCAGTTTGACCAAGGATGATACCACCATACAAGCATCCAAAACAACATATGTGCTGGTTATTTCAACAGAGATGTTGGGTGGTTGTGTAGTGGTTGAAATCAAATGAGCCTACAGCCAAAAGATATTCTGATCCCATTAGTCAATGGCTTTTGATTCATAGTCTATGGGACTTTTCAACCTGATCTCACGGTATACGGTATGTTACGAGGTGTCAATTTCGTATGAATTTACACAATGTGAATTGTACAAAAAGCATGATTGTTCGAAAAAAAGCAAGCATGAAGGTCTGCCCATTAACATACCAGTCACTGGGGTGTAAGCAGAATGTACGAAAACGTTCCAATGAGATCATACAATTTAGCCACAAAACGTAAAATGGTTACAAATCGGCATGAGATTGTGTTGGACTTTCACCTGTTTTATAATCCATCAGATGAAAATCACAATACTGACCACTACTGACTGAGTAATAATACACATTTCCTCAACAAAGTGCACAATATGAGGTATTATTATTTAAGTCTGTAATGTAAATGGTTTAATAATTGATTTAAAGTATGAGCTAGTAATGAGCAAACGGTACTAATAGAGTTTTTTTTTTTTTTTTTTTTGTGGATTACAATAATATCATTTCAATATACACTTTAACACTATGTAACTCCCTTTCTGTGGATCTACTACCATAACAGATGAATAATTTCTCAAGAGTGGATCTCTAAGGCTCAGAGCTGTGAGAACCCTTTGTTAACCTCTTGGTATCTTGTCTACATAATTCACCATTCCATTGGGTTTCGTCTGTAAGTAGAAAACTGTGTCAACTGTGTCAAGACCGACAAAGCAAGGGGGAAGATCGTTTTATTAGCCTATAAGACTTCCTAACCTCATTTAAAGGTCTCCTGAGACATGCAAGTCCAACCGAGCCCCTAAAAACTCTCTCAGTGTATGTTCACAGAAAAATAAAGGAACAAAATTTAAAGCAACAGTTCGCTCAAAAATTGCAATTCTGTCATCATTTACTCACATTCATGTTGTTCCAAATCAGTTTGATTTCCTTCTGTAGAGCACAAAACAAGAAACTCTAAATAATGTACAGTACTGCTCGCTTTTTCCCCAATGCAGTTAAAGTGAGTGGGAATTTACAGTAATGACGCAAAAGCATCACAAAATGGTCCATATGACTTGTGCACTATATTTCAAGTTGATAGAATTGCAGGACACAATTCCTGAACAAATCAGAGAGACCCATTTTGTGAATTGATCAATCTGAATCATAAGAATGAATTGTATAAAGATCAGACATACCTTTCTCACTATCACTCATAGATGCGTCTAGGAGACTTAAGGAAAGTTTTAAGATTAGTGAATAACAACCAAAATTGTGTTTAATTTTCTCACAAAAAAGGTATCACATGACTTGGAATATAGTGCACGAGTCATAAATATCCCTTTTATAGTGCTTTTGCATCCTTTTGGAACCTTAAAAGTGCCAATTCATTGTAACTGCATGGGAAAGAGTCTGTTTTCATCATGTTCTGCAAAGGGGAAAAACAAGTTTCAAATGACATTAAATGAGCTTAACTTAACGTTTATATTATAAACATCTTTCTATTTCCTGTCAAAACGAACGCATTTCTTGAAAAAACATACAAAAATATTGAAAAGATGCTCGTTGCACGGGCTGTTGTCTTCAGCTGAGTCACAGGAGAGTTTCAAAGACATTGATTGGTTGCTTGATCTCCATTGCTCCTTTGTTTAATAAAAGGATCACGTCACTTTTGTTCCTAAGAGGTTGAAGTAACACAGAGGTCATAATCAGGGTTGGCGGTCCGCAATGAAGCTCCCCATA